GTGATGTTGTTCATAATTTGTCGACTAAGCGTTTCCAACAGGAATGGGTTTGTTTATCATAGTCCGAGTATAGTCTGAATCAGAATTTGTCCAGTCTAATGAATTAGTTGGTAGAATCCAAAAGATGTACTCGTATGCATGTTTCCTTTCAAATTGATTTGTAATAATTTTGATGATACATATAACCCTTTTTAGTGAAAAAAAATGTACCGTAGGGTGTAAATCTAAGATATATTATCTTTTAATTTTCTATATAAGACTAATTCTAACATAATATACATACTCAACTATTATTACTATGGGGTGGAATTGGTGATTGGGTTCATAATGTGTTGACTAAGCTTTTCTCACAGGATGAGATTTGTCCAGTTTGATAAATTAGTTAATATAAGCCAAACGATGTTTTGGTTTACATGTTTCCTTTCAAATGGATGTAAATACAACTTACTTTATGTAAGCATGTATAATAGTTTTCAATATTGAAACACTAACCCTATGTAATCATTTAACAGCCTACAATTTCTCGTTTGATATTTAGAGATTTATCGGTTTCATGATGAAAACGAGACTTTAATTCCCTTGTCGATTTCTGAATACACTTTTCCACACTCAACGCTTGGAAGAGATCGTAAACACTGGTTTGCAAATAATTTTATGACTTATGTTTCCATTTGCAACATCTGGAATGTATTCTCTTTATATATATTTTTTTCATACCTGTTCAAGAGTTTAACGTTCGTATGCAAACTGTTATTTTACAATTCACCAGCTCCGAATTCAGCATGCCTTCTATTGTGCCTGATGATTATATACTTACTCAACAATACATTTTTTTCTTCAATTAAATAATTTCTGTTTTGTATTACATCAAATTAAAATGAATATAATGCAGTTTAATACTATCATGTGTTATCACATGTTTCACTATACATTAGAATATTTTTTACTATACAGCAATATCTCGTCCGGAATTATCTTTCTTGAAACCGGACTAATCGAGGAAATATTATAAATTTATTGTTGTTAACTTAATTGGTGGAATCCAACCATGAACATGTCTCTTCCATGATATCTTCCATCTGGGTCAAAATGTTGCCTAAATTCCCTGTCCACGTCAAATATTCGGAGTTTTCAATATTTTCATCATCCATCTGCTTGTCTACAAGTTCTAGGCATTTCATGAATGCATGCTCGCGCTTCATGAAAGTACGTTTCCCAAAAATTAATTTCATTAATCTTGATCAGCTTTTACCACAAGCAATCGTATTTAGTATTACCGAATCTCTCTTGATTTCAACACCTCCTTGCGATCTTTATAAAACCTAATTTTATTTATGATACTCCCTGAATTTACATTTAATATTTCTTGTGCAAATTCAAAACAGTGGAATAAATGAACAACCTTTGCCATTGTAGGTTTTTGTAAGTTTTAAGAAGCTGCATTTGAACTGATGATCAAATGTTTCTTTAATGTAAAAGATCATTAGGTATTTCCAAAATAGTAGATTTTCAGTAACTACATTATATTACAGATAATAAAATATTATAGTTCAAAAACGTTCTTGATTTGAGAAAAAAATACAGAATACTATTACTCTCTTTTAATTTTCTAAAAATTTCAATTGTAATCAATTCAATCGTTTAGTAAATTCTGAGATATTCTGAGACAATCTTCTTTTTTAAATTGTAATTTATTCAGAATTTTTTTAACCTTTGAAAATTACCGCTAAATTTCGATGAAATGTAATTTTCCTTTTCTACATTAGAAATATTTACCGAAAAACAGTTATATTATAACTAAATATTTTAAAATTTGTACATTGATTTTTAATCAAGTTTGCATAAATTTAATTACATAACTAATATATATTATATAATATACTTAATAATTAAAAATACTAAATTTTTAATAAATAAAATTAAAATAAATGTTTATAGATAAGTGATGGTTTTTTTTCCCTTGACACAGTCTCCTTTGGTTCGGTTTATTTTAGTATACTATACACAGTAATACCTCATTTAGCGCTGCCTCGATGCGGTTTGCTGGTAACCTTAAAAAAACTTAAAATGTATCCAGATTCAAATTATCGCGGAAATTCATTGATTCGTATATAATACAATTATTCACGAACACGTAGCGCTGTGCTTCCCCAGAATCTATGCTTGTTTGAGATGTAGATGAGTAGGATATTAAGGAGTTACTGCAGGTTTCTGGTGAGGGCCTTAACAAGGACGACCTTCAAAAACTGGCAGAACAAGAAATTGAAGAACGCGAAAATAGCGATTTTGAAGACGATGAATCAAAAGAACATGCTACAGATTTTCTTAGAAAAAGTTTAGAAACGATAACCGAAACGTTGATCAAATTGTAGCGAATGATCCAAATGTTGACAGTTGTGCAAAAGTAAGAAAGTTTTGGATGCAATCGCCTGTTACCAACATTTGTTTAATGAAAGTAAAAGAGAGCGACAAATGACTAGACGATTTGATCGCCAAAAATATCAAAAGAGGACCTTTAACACAAAAATAAACTTAATATTTCTGTGTGCAATTGTTTGTGTTATATAAAACATATATTATAATGCAAATTACTAGAAATACTACTTAAAATTAAAGTAAAATTTGTTTATTTTGGCCTCGTGATTCCCTTTCACTCTTTGCTATGTGTTAAAATGACCTCTTATAGCACTATTTCGTTAGAGCTGTCAGCAGGAACGTATCTAAAGCACTAAACGAGGTCTTACTGTATATTTCAAAATGATCAATGCTTAAAAATTTCATATATTAAAACTAATTTCGTTTATTAAAGTTTTGAAAGACAACGAAAATACTTATCGGATTTTCGTAAGATATTACTTTTTGAAGCTTTTAATAAAATTGAAGTTATAATCTAAATTAGTTGCAAATAAGTTATATTTTTATGATTAAAATAAACAAAAACAAATTATATAAAATTATATTCTATATTATACAAAAACTAAAAAGGAAACTAATTAAAGCTAGATAATTAAAATTATATGTTTTGAACCCATAAGAACGTCCGGTTACACTAAAAGTTATGTACAGTTAACTTAATTACTGACACATAGTTTCTTTTTTAACTGAATTCAATCATAATAAGAAAAAACAAACTTACAAAATATAAATATCTAGGTTCCTGGTAAATTGGAATACTGTGGTTAATTTCGAATGGAAAATAAAAGGAGCATTGCTGACACGGAAAGGTCTTATAAGATTTCAGGACACGTAACGATAGTAAAGGCAGGTGAAAAATAGAATATGACAACTGCGAGAAAACTTTTGCAAAGT